GAATTGAGAGAAAGATTGGCAGCTACAAAATGTAACCCAGCTCATGTGAGAGAGCTTCACTCGCACTGACCGATCAATACAGATGAATACTGATTAATACACTTCAGCAAGAGGGCAAATTAACCTCACCTCTCTGTCAGCTGTTACCATGGTGACAGTGGGAGCAGAATGTTAGTTGTCGTTAATGTAAACTAATTAGCGATGTCTGCTAAGGCAGCTGTCACCGTTCTGAATCATACTTCAAGTTCATTTTATTAAGTAAACTCAAGTAATGTTCAAGCATATTTTTTCAAGTACACAAAGTGTACTTTGTGTAAATAAAAATCAGTGTTTAAATCAAGTGTACAAAATCAGTGTACTAACATGTAAGTTTACACTTTCAATACTTCTTGAGACTAAATTGGCCCACTTTTTAGTTTATGAACGTATACTTTTAAGTGTACTTCAGGTGTAATGCTAGTAAATTACAGTTTTCAGCTATATTTCTTTTGCATTGCAACTATACTGTGAACTACGCTACAAGTGAACTTACAGGTAGACTATCTACTTCATACCCACTTTTTAGTTTATGAATGTACAGTTGAAGTATAATCTCAGTAAACTATTAGTTCAATAGTTTTTATACTTTATACTATACTTTATAAGTTCGGCACACATAGGGTTCACAGATTAGTTGCACAGTTTAAACATCATGGAGAGAAAGTGTATCATTTGCATATGTTTCTAAGTCTCTTTCACATTTCCTTGCGCTTGAATGTAGATGTACAGAAAAATTATCTCACAATATTGTTTTGACAAGTATTCTCGTAAATACAGTTACTTGAGTGAACATAAACAGATTTTTTTTTTTATGTGTATCATTATATTGGATCCAAAAGCATCTTAAAATCCGTAATATGATCTGAACCATGAGTTTTGTGATCCGTTGGACCGCTATCCTGCATTTTGCAATTCACAGATCTTTTGAATGCCTTTTGTTTATTCTAAAATGCTGATTATATATGTATAAATGAATATTCCAATAACTGGAGTTTGTGCAAATCTTTTTCAGAATAAAGGATAAACCAGAATATGCAACTTATTCTGCAGGTGTTGTGCATGTAAACATTATCATCTAAAAGTGTGTAAATCTATTTATAGGAATAGTCCTCTCCCATCTCATGATTTGTGTGTTTCGCTCTGTAGAGCCTCACTGGTCTGATGTCTGTTTAATGATGTTTCTAATGAGTTTGGCATTTTGATCAGTTGGTGAAATTAGCCGTAAACAATTTCAAACTAAAATCTTTTTTTACTGTGATGTTTTTTCCCCCACAAACTAATGTAGCTGCTACAACACTTCACTGTGTATATTCATTCATTCGTATTCATACTAACACTCTCACTGTTTTCTTCTCGTTTTTCCCTTTGTAGGAGACGGACAGTTGGGAAATCATCGAGGGGCTAAGGATTGGTCAAACTCATATCCAGAGGCCAGAGAAACATGAAGGTTTTATGCTGAAGAAGAGGAAATGGCCTCTGAAGGGCTGGCACAAGGTTGGAAATGACTACCACCAGCTGGTTTCCGCTGGTCAGGGCTATGTTTCCAACTATGGTTGAAAGTTCCATTGTTACCAACATAGTTTAACGATTCAGTGTTTCCCGAAACCATAGTTCAAACGAACATTCGCAAACAGCATCGCAAACTTACAGCTCTCGACCTGTGGTTAGAAGCATAGTTTCTTGTTAGTAAGACATGTGGGCTTAAATAAATTGTGCTCTTGGGCGCAATAAGCAAGCTAACATGCAGTACAGTCTAATTATTCCATTCTATCTAAATATGAATGCATTTTAATCTTATGTATTTTTGTGCGTCCTTAATAAGCCCATTTTTGAAGAGTGCACATGTTCATAAATTCATAAGGGAACTTATAAGAGGGAACCTGCGATGAGTCAAACATCAAATAAAGCAACATGACGGGGAACAAAAAATACTAAATTAGTCATCAGGTGCCATGTTCAATACAGCAGATCTCTAATCGGTTAAATAGCAGATGTTATTACTCCACCACATGGGTGTAATATCATTAACAATGACCCTAAATTGTTGAACTAGTGTGGTTCAAACGGCGGAGATGCGACCGTGTCGTGACTAGCTAGTTTGTTTCCACAACAATGCATTGTACTATGTTGGTTAATCAGCGAGTTACGTCGTTGTATGGGAAACGCACCCCAGGCTGGTTAAACCAGCTGAAAACCAGCTTTGCCAGGCTAGGAGACCAGCTTAAACCACTTAAGACCAACAATCTTGATGTTTATTCTGGGTGTTGATGAACAGTGTTTTACTTATATTTCAAACTTTATTCCTTACAATTTGTATTTACAGTAAATATTAATTAGATACTGTTTTTTTCTCTTGTCTTCTACACAGCGATTTTTCATTTTAGATAACGGGATCCTGAAGTACTCCAAATCTCCTGTAGATGTGAGTTTCTTTTAAACGGTTTCCTGTGGAGTGCTTGCAGCGCTGCTCTGTGAATAATAATGATGAGTTGTGTAGGTTGGTCAGAGAGAGACGGTGAGCCGTGATTGGCTGTCTGCTCTCGCTGTAGCGTGACTCAGATGAGCTCAGACTCAGCAGCAGAAACACCACTAAGCACTGACTCAACAAGGACAGAGTGAATGTGTGTGTGGACACATTTTACTTTGAAATGCGCTTTAAATGGATAGTCCACCCAAAAATTAACATTCTGTCATCACTTACCCTCAAGTTGTTCCAAACCTGTATGAGTTTTTTGTCTTTCTGTTGAGCACAAAAGATATTTTGAAGAGTGTTGGTAACCAAACTGGTCTGGTTCCCATTTACTTCTATAGTATTTTGCTCCATGCTATGGAAGTCAGTGAGGACCAATTGTTTGTTTCACAACATTCTTCAAAATATCTTCTTTTGTGTTCAACAGAAGAAAAAAACTCATACAGGTTTGGAACAACTTGAGCAGAACATGAGTATTAAATGAGTGTGTGTTTGTTTCAGATTCAGAAAGGAAAGCTTCATGGCAGTATAGATGTGGGTCTGTCTGTGATGTCCATCAAGAAAAGAGCTCGCCGCATAGATCTGGACACAGAAGAGCACATTTACCATCTCAAGGTCTGTAATTTACTTGGTCTGTATGTGCACTCATTGAAATATTGTGGAGAAAAGCAGCGTTTCTTCAGCTTTAGGCACTTTTATGTCTTTGGGGTTTATTTTTATTCATTTTTTGTCTTTTTGTTATGTAAAGGTCACAAGAAATCTGCCTTGGAAGTTGTTTTCATGGCTCCATCATTTATTTTTGATGCTGTGAACTGGCTGTCTCCTAACTCTGTCACTGTCTCTATCTCTTTCTCCTTGAAGGTGAAGTCTCCAGATGTTTTTGACATCTGGGTGTGCAAGCTGCGTCACCATCGTTTGTTCCGTCAGAACGAGATTGTTCGCTCTCCTCGTGATGCTACGTTACGGACCTTCCCTCCGTCTGCCAGCGCAGAGTCACCCCAGAACACCCCTTCCAGCGCACACCAAAACAAGGTCATTTTTGTCTTCTGTTTCATGTTGACTATAACAACAACATAAATCAAATTTAAGCTTCATTCAGACAGCTGTGTAAACATGTGTGTGTGTATGTGCCCTTTCAGCAGGGTAAACCCAGTAGTCTGCCCTGGCAGCTGCCGCCATCCTGTAGTAATGGACAGAGTAAAGTGGCAGCCTGGTTACAGGAGTCAGAGGAGATGGACAAGTGTGCAGAAGGTAACACACAATTCAGTAATTAAGATTTTACTTTATAGCTCACAAAACCTGTCAAGAAGTTATCAGTGCCATGTGTTACCACAAAGAAACCCTGATGTCAATAAAAGATAATCTAGTGTCTAGATCTAGAATTTAGTGTCATCGAAAGAAATGTGAATTACAAAATAATTAAAAGATTCAGATGCAGTGTGGTAATGAAAATTTAAGGGGAAAAAGTATATTGATGTTATTTTCAAGTTTAATTTAAATAATCAGAAGCATCTTAACAGTACACTAAAATAAGTGTAAGTAATTTCTTTACAACATAATATATATATATTTTTTTAAATATTGTTTTTGGGGGGGACTTTTTGTACGATTGATCCTCTGTTGTATTTTTAAAAAACGACATTTAACACACACACACACACACACACACACACAGACACACACAGACACAGCTTCTAGGTGTCTAGTATATTTGTACAGATTGTGTTGCAGACAGATTGTGTTTCTCTTTTTCTGCGCTTACACTGTAAACCTATTCACAGGTTCTGACACCAACAGTATCTGATGTTTTGTCCCATCTGTTTTGTCACATTCGCTTAACACACACATGAATATATATATATATATATATATATATATATAAAACTGTTTATATTAATACCCAGCCATATCATTGTGTTACCAGTAAAAGAAATCACTCGGCATAGCTATATATTGGGAATTGGTTGAGACTGTAATGCAGATCTATAATATATACAGCAGCTTTACATAATTCAGACATCCCTAACCCTCAAACTAATTTCAACCCCTCCAACACAACAGCATAATTCTTCCTTCAGTATTTTCACTGATGTCATTCTCATCACCTCTTCTGATTAAATAAAATCTCATCACACATTTACAACATATTATTTTCTGTTGTCACTGCCAATGGCTTCAGTGCTTCAGTTTTCTGCTATTAACCCTCTCACCAGTTTGCTTTGCGTGTGTGTATGTGTCCATGTAATTTAGAGTAACTGTGTAGATTTGACAAAGAAAGAAAAGCGAGTCAGCAGAAGATGGAGGACTAAAAGTGTCAGCAAAGATGCAAAATTGCAACAGCAGGTACATCTTCACAACACCCACAATCAACACTGAGAGGAATTTACTATTAGCTATATATTATTTATTGCACTGTCTGCATCATTTTAGCATCTGATTTACCGGAATTATGCAAATAGGGTAACAGTGCAAACACGGCCAGAAAATCGGGCAATTACTATTCTTGCATACTGGTTCTGAGTTATAGAGGCCATAGCTGACTACAACAATCTGGCATACTTTACTGAGACAGTACAGCATTGTTCCAACTAGAGCCCTGCACGGGCCTCAAATTTAGGCCCGAGCCCCTCTTTTTTTCCCCTTCTCCCAAAACAGCTTATACTACTGTTTTAGCTATTAAAATAGTTCATTTTGTATGTAATGGCAAAATGATTATATTTTGTTTCGTTTTTTTTATTAAGTTAATTTAGAAAACTTTTGGAGGATTTTTTGTTCGTAATTTCAACCCCTCCAACACAACAGCATAATTCTTCCTTCAGTATTTTCACTGATGTCATTCTCATCACCTCTTCTGATTAAATAAAATCTCATCACACATTTACAACATATTATTTTCTGTTGTCACTGCCAATGGCTTCAGTGCTTCAGTTTTCTGCTATTAACCCTCTCACCAGTTTGCTTTGCGTGTGTGTATGTGTCCATGTAATTTAGAGTAACTGTGTAGATTTGACAAAGAAAGAAAAGCGAGTCAGCAGAAGATGGAGGACTAAAAGTGTCAGCAAAGATGCAAAATTGCAACAGCAGGTACATCTTCACAACACCCACAATCAACACTGAGAGGAATTTACTATTAGCTATATATTATTTATTGCACTGTCTGCATCATTTTAGCATCTGATTTACCGGAATTATGCAAATAGGGTAACAGTGCAAACACGGCCAGAAAATCGGGCAATTACTATTCTTGCATACTGGTTCTGAGTTATAGAGGCCATAGCTGACTACAACAATCTGGCATACTTTACTGAGACAGTACAGCATTGTTCCAACTAGAGCCCTGCACGGGCCTCAAATTTAGGCCCGAGCCCCTCTTTTTTTCCCCTTCTCCCAAAACAGCTTATACTACTGTTTTAGCTATTAAAATAGTTCATTTTGTATGTAATGGCAAAATTATTATATTTTGTTTCGTTTTTTTTATTAAGTTAATTTAGAAAACTTTTGGAGGATTTTTGTTCGTTAAATATAAGTTTTTGTTTTTTAAAGTAACGACCAAGCGGCCAGCGGCAGACAGTGAGCCTATGTTTGATCAATTTAGCCTTCTCAAATCATCACGACTTGATAGAATAAAATCTATATACTAAAACAGTTCAAGCATATAACAATGTTTAAACGTTAAACCTGCGCTATTATATCCAAGTTTGTGTGGAGAGTGGAAGCTAAAGTGCCCTTTGCAGGACATGGAGGTGCCAGTGCAATCACTTTGCACTCTTGACAGTCGCGGTAGCACGGTCTCGTGTTGTTTCCACCAGCGCGGCAATTATTTTTCATCACTAATTGATGGATGTCTAAAATATAAAAATTAGGAGAAGCCTAAAACAGGCCCGAGGCCCAGCCCGCGTCTGAACTATGACGTGAAAATTGGCCCGAAGCCCGGCCCGAGGGGCGTAAAAAAGTCGGGGCCCGTTGGGCCCAGGCTGAAATGCACGGCTCTAGTTCCAACATTGCAATTCAGGCATCTGCATCAGTTTAGAATGACAAAAGTGTGCCTGCATGGCATGCACAAGTGGCTCAGTTGTTTAGTGAATTTGCCACATGGTCTCAATGCAGCAGGGACTGCAGCTGATAGAGTTTAGAGTGTGTCAGTTTCCTTAACCTTCACGCACACACGCATGACCACTTACCCTCTGAACAACCTCATTATTACAGTCCTTAACCTCAGCCAAAGCATCAGAGGACACCGCCTGCTGCGGTCTAACACTCTGAAGGCCTGACATTTGACTCGGTGGATCCATTATAAACCATTTAAACTGTTTCTGAACCTTTAACAGTGTATCGGCCATGGTTTAAAGGATTTTTTTCATTTATAATGGATCGCTACAGACAAGAGTGTGAGCGAATGGGACTGGCCATTTCTGTTTTATTTCCTCATAAATGTTTTGTTGTCATTTATTTGGATCATTGATTAAGAATGAAAAAACACAGCTCAGCACAACTCAGAAAACATATGAAGGTTATATGTAAGATACAAGACATTTTGATACCATAGTTGCATGTGTAAAATTATGTTGTTTAAAAGAATGTCTGCCCCATAGACGTTCATCGTAAGTGCATTACTGTAAAACCAACCTAGTAAAAAATAAATATACTAAAATGTATTTGAAAAACATTTATTTCATGCCAAGTATACTACAAATACATTTACATATTTATGCACTAATAAAATTACCCTGCAATTGTACTGTTGGTATACTAAACTGGTATACTTAAAGTCTGCTAAATTGGAACAACTAATTTTGTGCGGAAGTAGTGCTGAAGTCCAACTAAAGATGAACTGAAGTATATTTGATCGAGAGATTTGGAACTATTGCATTTAAAGACCGATATTATTCAAAGATCATATAATCCTCATCAGTAGTGACATTAAAACTCATTTTAGGCTTAATATAAAGAAATGAGCATTGTGCACAAGTAGTACCCCAAATACAGTTTAATTATCATTTTTATATCAATAAGTCTCAAGCAATATGTCAGTAAATACGTTAATAGATTTTAACTATACTTAGCATGAAGTAAATGTATTTTAAATATATTACTTTTTTACTTGGGCAATTTTTGCTTGTTTTTAAACTGAGTGACAAAACAAAATAATTTTCTGTGGTACTGGACAAATCCACATGCTGTTGATGGACCTTATTGTTTTCATTCCCTAATAAGGTCATCTGTAATAAACTGGGAAGGTTTTCTGTGATGTTGACAGTAATAGGGTGTGTGTATGAGTAACTCTTGAGGTGTGTTTGGTTAAATATGTATCTGGCTCTTGTGTTCACCCCCAGGTCCAGTCACTTCCCCAGTCACACAGTGCTAAAGTAAGCAGAACCTTCACTGTGATGTTATCTTGGTGTTACACCATGACATCACCATGCTGTAGTCTCTTGCATGCAGTGCTGCTTTACATTCTCTCTGCAAAACATAATGTCAGTGTGACCTTTTTAGAAATACCTTTAGGTTACTGTTGTAACCCAAGTTCTCTGAGGGAGATGAGAGTGATATGGGGCTATGTAGACTCTCCTTGGACACACATCTGTATTGCAGTCCTTAAATCGCTATACCATCACACATTCAGGCTCTTCCTTAGTAAACTGGGGTTACAGTTGTAACCAGTAGTTCTCTTATAGTCCACTTGCTTGACATCTCATTGTCGGATATGGCAAACATTTGTAAAGATCTTAAAATAAGGCCACCTGCACATGTCCAACCCCCAAAAAAGGTATGCAGTTTTGGAACAACAAGAGGGTGAGTAAATGATGAAAAAAAAGCATTTCTCTTTTGATTGAACTATTCCTTCCCTTCAAGACCCTGCTTTTAGCATCGCATTGGCTTTAATGAGTTCTAGGCTATAAAATTTCACCAGCATGTAAATGGAAAGCCCACTCTGCCAGTAAACAGGTCTTCTGTTGAGATGCCTCTAAACAGGACTCAAGAGGTAGTCATTCCCCCAGTAGAATGAACGCTAACTCCTGGAGGCCTTTTAATAAATAATGCATCTTGATGGCATCTTGATAGCTTCCCTTAACCAGTGAGACAAGTGTTTTAGATTGCTGTACCTCTTGCTGGATTTGCAAAACAAACAAAGGACTGCTAACCATCCACCAGATATAAACAGTACATCTCTTCTCCTCCCCACACCTGAATGGGGTTGGATGAAAAGCTGGGATTTGAAATTGCAAACTAGAAAAACCCAGTTTGACGCAGTAGGGACAAATGCCAGATTGGGTGTAAAGTTATCTCAGATAAGATGTGAAACTGAGGCATGCAGGATTAATAGAAACCCTCTTCAGCTCACTGACATGCATCACTGTGGCGAATGTGGGTAGTAATCTTATATGAGACAGCCTTGATATCCACCCTATTGAAATTTCATGATGGAATCATCTGCTTAGCAGCCAGACAGGAATGGTACACCCCTGATTTACCTTCAAAACCTGAATGTTATGCTGATCCAGCACATCTGATCCAGGAATGTCTAATAGAGCATAGAAACAGAATGATCTGCTTTTCTTATACATGTGGTCTACACCGGGCATAACCGCTTGAAGCTGTCTACACTGAAGCATCAAAGTGGAAATTCCGAAATTCATGTGGAGTATGCCAGAAATAGAACTGGGCATCAGTTTTCTGTCGGTGCCTCATCATGTCTGGCGTCAACAAGGTTTTACACTTTAAGTCAAGTAACAACCTAATGGAATTAGCTCAAGGCCTCAGAATTACGTCAGTGACATTCGGAAACATGCCAGTTTAACTTTCACTGGAAACCTTAAAAGGTCATGAAACCCACTGTTTCAGCACCGGTTAGTTTTTCCACCACAGTTTTGAAAAATGCTACAAAAGTGGGCGTGGTGCACTGCGGAGTGGAGGGGGAAGAGGGGAGTTAAAAACACAAATAAATGCACAGCCATTTGCATTTGCACTCTGCATCGTGAAATATATGAACGCGCTGTAGCACCTCTAACATTTATTTGCAGCGTTTATATAAGCCTTTTGATGGATTGCATCAAGCAGCTGTAAAAACTGGTTACACGCTGTGAATAAATCACGTTTGTGCTGAACTTGAATGTGAAACTGAACTTTTACAAAGCAAAAAAAAAAAAATGATAACCTTCGATCCATGAATGCGCGTCTCTCACTAATGTACGCAATCTCACAGTCTAAAGTGTCTGTCATAGCGAATCAACATGTTATTGTGAATAATTAAATGAAGCGTCTTCTCATAGGATAAGAACACGCAGTCTCATGAATAATTATGAGACACCGACGCATCATTGAAGTACTATAGTCCTTTGCCATGTCACAAATTGTGCCGTCAACACAATGTAGATTTTAAACCAGGAAGATGAAAATAGCGCAAATATTAACCGGTTCTCTCCAGCAATTAAAATTAACGGATGCCAACATTATCTTCTATGATGTGCAACACAAACATCTCTACTAAAATCTCAGAAAAAGTAGTTTGGGTTTTCATGACCCTTTAACACAAATATTTAAATATTGTGGATGGTGGTGAAGTAATTCCCATTGTACCAGAGAAATTAAAGCTCTTTTAACATTCACACTTTTTCCGCTAACCATGGATTCCCTGGTCATAGTGGGGCCAGCGTCACCACTCTCCACCAGCCCAATCTGATTCTATTCAGAGTGGGAAGATTAGAGCTGACAGGAAGAAATTCATAAGCAGAATTTCAGGATACAGGTGTGCTGGTATGTCTATGCCTAGCATATCTGGTACACAGTAAAATGGACAGCAGACACTTATGAGGTGAGCATATCTACATATACTGTATCTTTTCCATATCTAAACTGCTACGTCAAAGTCTTCACTCCCTCAGGTGTGGGTTTCAGCACAAAATCTATGCCTGTGCCTTTGACAGACCCATAAACATGCATCACTCTCTGGAAGAGCATTAAACCATTGGAGAAGCTCAACAAATTCCAACATTGTTGATATGCACACTTCACTGAGAAAGATCCCTGTTGGTCGTGAGCCGGTTTAAGCTGGTCCTTAGCTGGTCATATGCTGGTCCTAAGCAACTAGCTCCTGCTCAGGACCAGCACATGACCAGCTAAGTACCAGCTTAAACCAGCTCAAACCAGCAGCAGTGCTTCAAAACATACCTAACCAGCATTTGCTGTTTTTTCAACAGGGATGCCATGCCTGTTCACTGTCTGATCCTTAATCACAAATCCCCTGTCATGCATAAATGTGTCTGTCATGGTGAACCTTGTGGTTCATCCCATCATTGAACCATCCTCCTAGAGACTCTTGTTCCTCCAAATGTACAGTGCTCTAGTCATCAAGCATATCTGCATAAATGTCTGGAGGGAGTCAACTTCAAAGAAGTCACCCATCTCTTAACGTCTCTCTCAAATGTAGTCCTAACAGTACCACTGCTATGGCCAATGCTTAACAGACTCAGACAAAGACGAAAGGACACCAGTGTCCTCAGACTGAACTGGTTCAGGCTATTCTGGAATCTTATCCTCTTCTGTTACAACATAAATGCTTGATCCTTGAAGTGCAGCCCCATGAACACAAACTTTGTCGAAGACAACTTTTTTTTGTAGGATTATGATCAACCTTAGTGCTTGTAAGTATAAATTAATGTAGATGTGTTTTGAGTCAGAGATGAATGAGGATGTGTAAATATTAGGTGTGTAACGGTTCACAAAATTCACGGTTCGATTTGATAAGACACGGCTTGCAATGTTGGAAATATTTCTGTTTTAAACCATGAAGATGAGCCAATGGATATCACACAAGCAATGTGCAAACTTTGCGCAAGAGTTATGCCGGTAAACAACTTAATCTCAGTCAATTCACTATGCAGAAAGTAAAAGTAAAAACGGAATGACGGAGTAATGATGGAGCTTTCGGCATCTGTTGCCGCATATTCTCTCAGAGACGATGAGAGACGAATCTACTTCAACATATGCTGATGATGGTATATAGCTAACTGTTTTAATTTATTCCTTTAATATTTCTCTTGTGGTCCGTACATGGTGGAAAAAAAATGAGAAGAAATGTATTTCATGTTAAACAGGTTGTTTTTGAAAATCGGTACTTGAAATAAAAGCTTTTTATTTCATTGATTTTTATTGATGACTGCAGTGTTAATATTTTAATTATAGACCTATAATTCATTGTATAATAGACCTGTTTTAAAATACCTTTTTTAAAACATTTTAATCGAGGAGTAAATAGTAGAGCCCGACCGATATGGTTTTTTTGGGGGCCGATACCGAAATTAGGGGGTAAAAAAGACCGATATCGATATATCGGCCAATATTCTTTGTGTAGGCTATATTATAGTACAGTATAGTCAAAAGTTTGGACATACTTCCCATTCGTGTGTCCAAACTTTTGACTGATACTGTATATAGAATACAGTATATACTGTACGTTAGCAGAACTTAAAAAACACAAATAGAACAATATATATATATAAAACTTGAATTAAGAAAATAAACAAGGTAACTGTAGGGCAAGCAAGCTACTGCCAATCCAACAGGGGCAGGCTTATGCAGGAAGCACAGCTTTTCCAAATGTAAACATCTAAAATGAATAAATAATAATAATGAATAATATTTTTTTCACAAATTCTGTGTTGTGTATTTTCTGGTAATCAAATGAACATGCAGAACATGAGGATTCGTATTTAAATAGTCTTTTTGCAGTTTAATTCACAGACACTAGTCTACTAACTTTTAAATCTGCTAAGTTACTGACTGTACTGACAAACTATGCTGACACACCGTGTCTGCGACGCGACAAAGCGACCGTTGAAAATCATTTGAACTTTGCGTCAGTACATCATAAATAGAACGCGGCATCAGTTTACTGTTCGGGATTTGTCGCGTCATGTTGCGCCACATCCAGTGTAGACACCATCACTGATAATGGGTTCTATTGTATTTTGTCGTGCCGCACCGCTCGCGTCCGGTGTAGACACCCAGTTAGGAAAAGTGATGTGACCGATGTGATAAGTATGAGTTCTGGGCTGTGGCGTGGCTGGTATAAACACCAGCATTGAGTGGCCGCTAAGCCGTAATGCACCATAGACACGTGCTGTGATGTGCAGATCAGCTCTAACGTCACTGAATCTGCTGTTAAAAATGAACCATCCATTCATCATATCATCATGCAAAAATAAGAATTAGAATCATTGTAATGTGACGATCAAATATAGGTGCGGGTGGATAATTTATTTGAAGCAGCGGACTTTGTTTGAGCTCATCCGCGCATCTCTACACTACACTGACCTGGGTCGCCAGTAGCAAACAATGGAGTGTGCTCTGCTGGACAAACAAGTCCTGGACAAAAAAGTAATTACACCATTCAGAAGCACTGTATCTGCGTTATATGTTCTGTGAAAAAAAAATTCATATCGGCGGCATATTCGCCGATACGATATATCTGTGACAGGCTCATATCGGCAAAACGATATATCAGTCGGGCTCTAGTAAATAGCCTAATCTTTTGTTATCCTCGCAGCGTGTCAGTTATGTGGTAGCCTAATTATTGTGGGGCAAATTAATTGTAATCTTAATATAATAATAAAACTAACTTCATAATAATAATAATAGGCCTAATAAAATAAGAGTGAACAGGCCTACATTAATTGGACATGCCAAATCCTCTTAATATTGCCAATAATTGATGTTTTTGACAATATCTCTGGCTATCGTCGATACAAGATCATCATCTTTCAACGCAACCCAGCAAGGGGAGGTTATCGCGGGCACGTCCGCTATGCCACTGGACAGCACGTTGCCTGTTACGTCGTTTGGGCTGTCTTGTTGAGCACAGTGGCACTAAGAAAATAATATTTCACACAATTTAAGCTCTTTTATTTTCCAGATGTAATAAGTTTAGTCCATCGAATCATTCGATTTGTAATGCATACCGAACCGAAAGCCTTGTACTGAACGGTTCAATACAAATACGTGTATCGTTACACCCCTAGTAAATATGCATCCTTGAGATCTGTAGCGGTAAACAATTTTTTTCTATGTACAGAATTCAGAGATTTAGAATATTGATACACAAATCTGTGATTTGAATTCTAAGATAACTGTTGAAAGCTTCAGATCCAGAACAGGGAAAATGCCTCATTCCTTCTTGATAGAGTTGCCACTCTGCCTTGAACAAATTTGGAATAGAAGACATTAGTGGGCCTTGCATCCCAGACAATATTCCCCCCAACAATGACCCTGATGATTGGTCCTCAGACAAGGTGAGAAGGTGAACCCAGTCCTCTATAGGAGTGAAGACCTCACTGACCATCAATGCGGGCACTCCTCCCCCTGTAAGGTGTTTTGCTGGAAATCCTGCATAAAGATTGCGGTTCTGTGAAGCACCCTTGGAGAGAGTTTGTGGTAATGAGAGCAAGCAATTGACAGCAGTGCCTTAGCACACTAGACAGATGGTGAGATCCTTTATGGAGATAGCTCTTTATGGAAGCCATGAATGTTTGGCTGGTCAATGAAATGAAATCTTCCCTCTGTTCAGTGCTGGTAAGCCTGTTATCAAGACAGCACATTGTTCTCTGTCTTTGACAGCTGGGGTGGGAACTCTGGTCCTTGAAGTCCTCTGTCCTGCAGAGTTTAGCTCCAACCCTGATCAAACTCACCTATGTGTAACATTCTAGTGATCCTGAAGACCTTGACTAGGTTGTTCAGGTGTGTTTGATTAAGGTTGAATCTAAACTCTGTAAGACATTGGACCTCGAGGGCCAGAGTTTCCCACCCTTGTCTATAAGATACACATAACTTTGTAAACCTTGTAGAAACCTTGCCGTAGAAAAAACAACAAAAAGGTATTTTACTCACCTAAAGTTGTCAAAATTGATGGCCAAATAAATAGTAACTCTACATTTTCTCTCTTTCAGGGATGGTTGAACAACGTGTAGTGTACTGAGGACATATGTACAGTGGAGAAAATAATTATTTGATCCCCTGCTGATTTTGCAAGTTTGACCACTTACAAAAAAATGAAGGGTCTATAATTTTTATGGTAGGTTTATTTTAACGGATAGACAGAACATCAACAAAAAAATCCAGAAAAAACACATTATATAAAGGTTATAAATTGACTTGCATTCAGTGAGTAAAATAAGTATTTGATCCCCTACCAACCAGCAAGAATTCTGGCTCCCACAGATTGGTTACGTGCCCAAGTGGAACACAGATTAGTCCTGTCACTTTAAGAAATTACTCCTAATGTCATCTTGTTATGAGTATAAAAGAAACCAGTCCATAGAATGTGTATCTTCCATTCAAACCTCTCCCACCACCATGGGCAAGACCAAAGAGCTGTCAAAGGACGTCAGAGACAAGATTGTAGACCTGCACAAGGCTGGAATGGGCTACAAGACCATCAGCAAGAAGCTTTTTGAGAAGGAGACAACTGTTGGTGTGAATATTCGGAAATGGAAGAAATACAAAATAACCATCAATCGCCCTCTGTCTGGTGCTCCATGCAAGATCTCGCCTTATGAGGAAAGGATGGTCATGATAAAGGTGAGGGATCAGCCCCGAACTACACAGGAGGAGCTTGTTAATGATCTTAAGGCAATTGGGACAACAGTCGCCAAGCAAACCATTGGTAACACACTACGCTGCAATGAGTTGAAATCATGCAGTGCCTGCAAGGTCCCCCAGCTCAAGAAGAAGCACATTAAGGTTATGGAGTGGCCTAGCCAGTCCCCAGACCTTAATTCTATAGAAAATCTGTGGAGTGAGCTGAAACTTTGAGTTGCCAAGAAACCTTAAGGATTTAGAGAGAATCTTTAAAGAGGAGTGGAACAAAATCCCTCCTGAGATGTGTTCAAACCTGGTGACCAACTACAAGACACGTCTTACCTCTGTGCTTGCCAACATGAGTTTCTCCACCAAGTTTTGCTTGGGGATCAAATATGGTTCAAAAAGAAGCACATTAAGGTTATGGAGTGGCCTAGCCAGTCCCCAGACCTTAATTCTATAGAAAATCTGTGGACTGAGTGAGCTGAAACTTTGAGTTGCCAAGAAACCTTAAGGATTTAGAGAGAATCTAGTGGGCAAACTTACAAAATCAGTAGGGGATCAAATAATTATTTTTCCCACTGTAGATGGCACAAGTTGGAAAAATGTTAAATTAAATGCTGAGCCTGTGCAGTAGGTCATATACAGAAGGGGGAGGGCTTCCCTAGTGCATTGGTTCCCAAACCTGGTCCTGGAGTACCCCCAGTGGTACACATTTTGGATGTCTCGATAGTCACGCAGTGTGAAAACAACGGCGATCCGACGAGTTTGAAAATCGTGCAGTGTGAACTCGGCATTAATTGACACACCCATTTCAGGTTTTGGAGTCTCCACTAATGCGCTGATGAATTGATTCAGGTGTGCTTGATTAGGTAACCATACAGAATGTGCAGAGTTGTGGTTACTCCATGACCAGGGTTGGGAACCAATGCCCTAATGCAGTGATTCTCAATTCCAGTTCTCGCGCACCACCGCTCTGTACGTTTTGTATCTTTCTCTTATTGCTTCAGACATTTGTTCTATTTGACCATAAGTGCCCTGCAAAGTGGACATCACAGGATATTTCACCAGGTCCAAAGGGACCTATATGTTCCATTAACAGGGCATTGAAAGTGCACAAGACGTGAATTTAAATTGTATTTATTTACAGAGGTATTATGTCACACTTCACACTTCTCTAGTGAGTTTCGTCTGTGTGTGAAGATGCTGCAGGCAATGGCTTTGCGCAAATCCGTGAATGAATCTTCTGAAGTAAAGTAAACTTCAACGGATTTCCCCTGCTCAGGGAGTAGGGAGCAATGAACACTGTGTAGGGACCATGTCATTTGGAACACAGTTCATGCATGGAGCTCTCTTCTAACGAGCTGGTTATTTGAATCAGCTACATTAAATAAGAGAGACATGCAAAATATGCAGAGCAGTGGTACGCCAGGACTGGAATTGAGAGCCCTAGTGCACTGACAAGTAATCTAAAGGCGTGGTAGTGTAAGGCTGCATGAATGGCCATACAGTTGCATGTACTGTACCATAATGAGATGTTGAGTGAGTCAACTAAATGAGAGCAGACTCTGATCTTATCTGCATCCTTAAATTCAAAGCATACAGTTGGTGCAGTAAAAAAGGTTTTGAACAGTTTATTTAAAATAAACTGGATGTCAGCAGCTCTGAATGATAGGGTTTTGTTCTGACACTACCAACTTTACTAAACACACAGTATGTGTTGACTTTGTATGATTATGTGATTGTCGTTTTGATTCATGTTAGTACATTAACGCATGCTGGTGGTTCACATGTCATCCTGTGCTGAAGTATGAAGTAACTTCATTTCACTGTTGATCTGTGAGCTTAACTTTACACTGCTTGGCTTGGTGTGTGTTTTTGTGTGTCTGTGAACTCTTTACTGAAATCTAACTAAACTATACTCATCTAATCTAGAGTTCAGATGTCCCCAGTTGGGTTTTTTCCTCAGTTGATGGAATCACTCAACTCTGAGAGGGCTGTGTTCAGAGGCCCACGTTGCTGGTTATCCCAAGACTGTGTCTGGGATCACTTCTATCTCACTGTAATTTGTGTGTGTGTTTCAGGTTCCCCTGAGTGCAAGTATGTCTCAAGTGCGTCTCCACTCCTCTAATCCTAACCTATATGCGGAGTTGGCTGATTTTCAAACCCCGATCCCACGTCTGACTGACAGTATCGACAGCGCCGGTGACTACATCAAACTGCAGGAAGATTTCTGCATAGTTGCGCAAAAAGGTGAACAAAGCATCCATTCCAGTGTCACTGGAACTGCATTGCCATGGCAAGAGAAATTGTGTTTTTAATTTGAAATTTTTTTAGCGAATTGCTTAAAAAGACTCAGAAACTCTGACGTTACCAATTTTGAAAAAGTGAAAAAATTAATTTTGTGGGGGGGGGGAACTTCCTGAATCTGTGAGCTCATTGTTACTGTTATAGTGTTGTGTACAAGTTTGTTAGACTAAAATTAGTAAAGTAGTCAGGACGCATTTTTTTTTATTGGAGGTTCCCTGGATATGTTGGAAACACTGCTTCAGGCAGTCAGTTACACACTGAAAAACAAAAGGTGCACAGCTTATTTTTGAGTGATAGCGGGCGACAGGTCCAGGTCACAAGCTCTGACCTGGAGACACAGCCTGTACTCAGCATGAACCTGTGTGTGTGTCTGTTGCAGTGCACTCTCTTCTGAAGTCTGCCTTCAACACTGTGGCCATAGAGAAGGAGAAGATTAAACAGGTGTTGTTGGAACAGGAGCAGACCGGCCAATCAAATCAGATTATAACTCTCCGTCGCTCCCTATCACAGGTCAGCTCCGCCCACCACACACTGTTACTGTTATAATCAACAAAAACGGAGTTCACCTTTTATTTGTGTACATTTACACAATATACATAGGACTTCATTAATTGCTGTATGTTTTTAGTATGACTAAGTAGGTCATTTTAATTTTATTTTTTTTTAAGAAAATTTATACTTTTATTAAGTAAGGATGCATTAAATTGATTGAATTAAAATATATATATATATTTCAAATAAATGCTGTTCTTTTGAACTTTCTATTCATCAAAGAATCCTGGAAAAAAAAAATCACGATTTCCACAAAAATATTAAGCAGCACAACTGAATCATGTGACACTGAAGACTGGGGTAATGATGCTGAAAATGTAGCTTTGCATCACAGGAATAAACAATATTTTAAAATAACCCCCATTTCCATTAAAGGGGTCATATGATGCGATTTCAAGTTTTCCTTTCTCTTTGGAGTGTTACAAGCTGATTGTGCATAGATAAGAAATCTCTTTAACATATTCTGTTACACCAAATACACAAAATAATGATCTTTAAAAAAGCATCATATGACCCCTTTAAACATTTTATTGGACTGTACCGGTTTTAATGCAAGTAGAAAACTTTTTTATGAAGTACGCTCACTCAGGGACTTTAGTAAAATTTTACCTGAAAAGATTTTAGATTTTTTTTTATGTTTTAAAAACAAAATTGTAAAAATCTTGTATAATTTTATCTTGCTGTGTTTTTGTGTTTACTTGTATTATTCCAACTCAGTTTTTGCCATGAAGATAGACTTAGATGCTGACATGGCAATAACTACTACAACAACTATTAACTACTACAACTAAAAATAAATAACTACTACAATTTAAAATATATTTAATTAGGAAACAGTTTTAAATTTAAAACTTAAAAAATTAAAACTTTAAATTGTAATAGTAGTTTACAATATTACTGTACTTTATTTTAATCAAATAAATGCTGCCTTGGTGAGCAGAAGAGAATTATTTTAAAAACCATTTAAAAAATCTGTCCGACCCCAAACTCATTTAGAATCAGATTCACAGTTTCATCCTCTAGCCTAAGACAAATAGATTTGTTATAAAAATGTATTCATTGAATGCAAGTTAATGTCTCTAGATCCAGTGTTTTTTTTTTGACCCCCTCATACACTCATCTTCTTACTTGTTCTGGATGATTGTGTTGTCTAGGCCTTGTCCCAGAATGTTGAGCTCAAGACCCGTCTGAACCGGATCCACTCTGAGTCGGTTCTGTCTGACCAGGTCGTCAGTGTGAACATCATCAGCAGTCCTGACGAGGTCTGATATTCTTCTGCTCCGAACCATTTGAGTTCCTAACAGTGAAATTTGTTGGATGTGGATGACACTTGGGCTTTGAAATTATTTGGAAAATAGGCAGGTCAGGATATGTGGATCTAATTGTCCCTTTTTATGGTCGAGAAGAGCATAAAACCACCTGGAGCTACAGGGGTAATCACCCATTTTCTTGATCATAAAGACAGTCACTGTTTAAGCTTGAAATCTCTTACATTTGCTCTCGTTTGGGTCTTTAAAGGAGTGAAAATGACACTCAGTACTCTGGCCTCATACACTTTGGCTGCAATACAACCAAACAGAGCAATCATTAGACATAATGAGTCCCACGAGATGGCTGCTCGTACTGATCAACCATGTGTTTAACTATTGGCAGCAGACATTGCGTTTCAAGGCTTTCACTTTCTACAGGACTTAAATCCTTCAGCTTTTGTGCTCCTCACATCAGGTTGTATATCTTTGTGCGATGGCCTCGAGTATAAGTGGCTGCCTGTGATAAATTTTAGCTCTACAAACACAAATCTGCAAGTGACACACTGAAGTAACCCTGAAATCCTTTAATCGTGTATGTTTGTGTGTTTTGTAGGCTGGCGATCCGCTCCACGTGGGCATCCCTCTCTCTCAGCAGGTGTCCAATGAGAGCATACCGAACAGGACCACATGGAGATGCCAAAAAAACCCAAAACCAATCGCCTGCTGACTGCATATATCTACTACAGTACACGGACCCATTCAGTATAACTAAACACAGCAACATACATATGACAAATCAAAACATTATCGTGAATGTGTGTGGAAACTATGTGAATGTACGGAAATGTCTGTGCCTGTGCATAAATACAATATGTGATCAGTGCGTCAAGAGCACTCATACACGCATTATTATAACGGACTCACGCATGCTTACTGTATGACTCCTGTACGCCACCGCAGTCGTCTTTACCTTGATTGCAGTTTTCATCCATCAATTGCAGTCTTCATCCATCAAAACTTTACTAGCGAGACTGATTATCCAGTCGAGAAAATGTAGTTTGCGTCTCATCTGGCCATACAGCGGTGGGATGTGTTGACAATCCGTTCAGTCTGTACTTCACACAGCGCGCGTGACGTGTGAGGGCTCGCGCTCTTCAGAGACAATCACAGAATATGACGGAGCTCGTGTTTAAAAGCGAAACACACTGGAATGAATAATTAACTTAAAACGCAACACGAGTCTCTGTTCTCTCTGAAATCTCTGATGTAATCAGCCTGGTTTCCTTTATATTAGCGCTGTTTTGGACGAATTGTTTGAATGCATTCACTTACTGGATCATTGGACTAAAAGCTTTCCTAGAGTTTAGCAGCTTAAAATGATCTATCGCAAGCAGAGAAGCAAAATTGGGTTAAAGGGTTAGAATAGAAATTGTGCTTCTGTAATTTTGCGTTAATTGCGTAAAATTAATCGCATGCGTTAACGCGTTAACGATGACAGCCCTAATATATATACAGCGGATAAAATAAGTATTGAACACATCACCATTTTTCCCAGTAAATATATTTCTAAAGGTGCTGTGACATGAAATTTTCAGTACATAATTCCCATATTTCCACGAGTGACCTGTAGTAATTATTATTATTATAAAGAATGATTAGATGTGTCCAGACTTGTACATATTCAAGCTCAAGTGAATCATTGCAATTACCAGTTAGGATTTATCAGCTGTCAGTGTCATCTGTGTAAGCATGGTCTGTTTGTTTAAAGGGGTCCTATTATGCTTTTTCACTTTTTTAATTTAGGGGCGAGGTTGTGGTTCGAACGCTTGGTTGAGTGAGTGCATCAGATGAGACGATGAAGAAGAAGTGCTGCTGCAGAGTTCGTGCATCAGAGAAAACGAAGAAGAAGAGCTGCTGTGCTGTAGCGTAGAATTTTCGTCATGTCTAGAACAATTCTTACAAGTATAACACGACGTAGCTGGGCGCCGCGGACAGACGCCGAACGGCGCCGCCGGTGTGCCTACACTCATAGAAAATAATGTATTTGAATTTTAAAGACGCGACGCTGCGCTTCTCGTCCGGTGTGCGACCGCCTGAAACGCTGTTTTTTTTTCACCTTCGTACCCAAACGTCTATGAAACAGTGGTTGCAATTTATTTTTTAACTCTGTTCCTGAGCATTATAACCCCAATTTGCTATTGTGTGCTGCGCATTTTACTGAGGACAGCTTCCACAACACGAGGGAGTACAGTGCCGGATTCGCCAAAAAGTTTTTGTTGAAAGACGGAGCAAGGGGCGTGGCAGTACTGAAACACCGTCTAAGCTGTTCGCCAATCACAACGCACTGGGACAGCTAACCAATCACAACACATTTTGTTTTTCGGAAGGCGGACCTTCATCAAAGCTGGAACTAATCGAGCCGTTTGTGCCAGGCTGGGGAGAAAGGTATTTTAATAATGTAAATTATGTGAAAAATAATGCGTTTTTCAAACCACCAAGCATGAGAGCATGTTCTAGTACACCCCCAAAACAAAATCAAGACTTTGTAAAAGAGTATAATAGGACCCCTTTAAGTGTGTTTATTTGTATACTTGCACACTGCACTGCAGTAGGTCATTACACACACACACACACACACATATTTTACAGTTAGTCAGCACTGCGCAAAATGAAAGACAGTAAGTAACATAATCTCTCTCTCTCTCTCTCTCTCTCAGGCCTCTGATGACGAGTCTTACGTCAGTGATGTGAGTGATAACATTTCAGAGGACAACGCCAGCGTCACAGATAACGTTTCCAGACAGAGTAAGATCGCTCTCCCTCCTCTTCATTTTGTTCCGTTCATTAGAGCAGGATGCCGTCCTGATGGGACACATGACCTTTGCATTACACACACACACACACACACACATGCACATGCTCTCTCCCTCCAATAGATCCAAACACACGCACACATCCACACACATGAACTGAAAGACAAACCCTGTCACAAGCGCATACAGTATATAATATATTATCTACAGTGTGTAATGTAAAGCAAGTAAAATTATGACTATTGTAATGTGAATATCAAAATATAAAATATAAAATGCAAAGGGATTAATATCACAGGATCTGTCAAGAGCATGTTGGGGTCATATTTCACCCCAAAACCAAAAGAAAAGACAAAATTAGTTTAAATGTTTAAAAATGTAAAGATTGTTTTAGGACCTTTTTGTTTTGAGTGTTTTGTTTTGTTTTTGTTTGCATTTTGCATTTTGATGTTATTTTCAGGAAAATGAATCACATTTATATACTGTATATTCACATTACAATAGTTACATTTTATTTAATTTATGTAATATACTGTAGAATTATGGGTGTTATGAAAATAGTGCCATCATTTCTTATTACAAAATTTAAGTTGTTTTTTTTATTTCCCTTTGAAGTTGGGAAGACATGTGACTTTGTTTTGAATTAATGAAAGTATCACAATCATTATATTGCAGACAGTGTCACTGTAGAATTATTGAGGTGCTAATATAGTTTGTATTAATATTTAGAATTTTTTATTTTTAGATTTTCCATTTTTAGTTTAGTTTTAGTAGTTTTGTTGTGTGATTTCGTTTCAATATACATGTAGTTTTTATTAATTTTTATGTCAGTTTTAGTTATTTTTAGTACATGAAGTTTTCAGAGTAAATGAAAATGAGAAAAGTTTACATGTTTTAATATTTTATTTCAGTTAATGTTTCTTTTATTTCAAGGAATGACAATGTTTTTATGGTTTTAGTTTTAGTTTCAGTTAACTATAAAAACCCTGATTGTTTATACTCAGTATATCCTGCAACCCTGGTATCCCACGAGTAACCTTGTGTTTCTCCCTCAGTGCCTAATGGTGATCTGGCCAGTGGTGCGTTTCGTAACGGTAGACGTACATGTCTCCCTGCTCCCGCCCCTGACACTTCCAACATTAACCTGTGGAACATCCTGAAGAACAACATCGGGAAAGACCTGTCGAAAGTGTCCATGCCAGTGGAGCTGAACGAGCCCCTGAACACACTGCAGCACATGTGTGAGGAGCTGGAGTACACAGAGCTGCTGGATAAAGCAGCTCAAACCGATGACCCCTATGAACGCATGGTACGCTCCAGCTCTTAAAGGGACAGCTCACCCTAAAATACAAATTCTGTCATCAGTAGCTCATTTTCATGTCGTTCCAAACCCATTAGACTTTTGTTTAAAACACAAATAAACCTGCAAAATTTCCATCCCTCCATTAAAAAACCAATTCCACCAAAATCATAAAGACATCATAATCCATATGAATCAAGCGGTTTAATCCATGTCTTCTGAAGAGACACAATCACTTTATATGATGAACAGATTTAAGTTTTATTCACATGTAAACATTTATCAACGTACATAGAGCACATCAATTATGGTCAGCGGAAGGTGAAATGTGCCTGCTTGATGCACAAGAGCGAGCCTCATCTACATGGATTACTTTTACAATGTCGTAATGAACTTTTTATGCTTACGAAGCATCAAAGTTTTAGTTACAAGGACTTTCAAAATGTTGGGACTGGAATCTCTCAGGTTTCATTCAAAATTTTCTTCATTTTGAGTTTTGAAGTTGAACGAAAGTGGGTGGAATGACATAACGGTGAGTAAACGACGACAGAATTTCCATTATTAGGTGAGCTGTCCCTTTAAGAGAGTTAATGGATCTGAATTTTCAAAAGACATACACCTAACAAGTATTTGAAACGGTTCTTTATTGGCATCAGTGTTTCCATGAAGAATCTTTAACATCTATGGAAACTTTCCATTCCACACTAAAACACACTAAGGTTCTTTCATGAACTGATCACTGAAAGGTTTGACAGGTTTCTTTGGTTCTTCTATGGCATCACTGCAAAAATACCATTTATTTTTAAGAGTGTAGGTATAGTTGCTGGTCTGGTTGCTCTAACAAGCTTAACCGTAATGCTCCACCAAATCAAAATCAAGTTCATCAGTCAGTAGTCCAGCTTATCAACCATTAAGACCAGACTATTGGCTTGAAACAACCAGCGTAGACTGGCAAAGTAAAACCAGCTACATACAGTTTTATCTTGATTTTCCAGCAGGGAAAGGTAGTCCAGAGTGTGCGAGGACAGACTTGCGCTCACACAGAAGCGTGCCCACACACGAATGTTCACACACTCACCTTCATACGTAGCGATATAACAGGAGCTGTTAGGTGGCTGGTGGAAGGGTGAACAGGGCCTGAAGCAGGAACACATGTCCCTTGAGGACAGGCAGGTGGGCATTTACCTCTGGCCTCATTAAGTCCTTTTACTGTAGCCTAGTTTGTCCACACACAGTGACGCACACTCTGACACATTCGGTCGCTCGTTCTCTACACTGCAGCGCTACTGATACCGTAATAATAATGCTGCAGTGTAGGCGGCTGACTGCTGGACTGCTTTAGACTTAGTGCTGCACATTTACTGTTGCAGGCTTTGTATAAATCTCAAGAAAATGATGTTTCTCTCCACAAAACAAACAAAAAATAGAAATAAGAAATTATATTTGATATAAAGATGCTGAATGATCTTAAGTGCCTTTTGACAGTTTTTTAGAGTAGTTTTTTTTTACAGTACAATAGTTAAGAACCCCCATTTCTATTACTGCAAAGAATTTTAAGTTAAAGTTTGTGTATCTAATTGATTCTCCTTACTGTAATACCATTTTTCTTCAATAATTAATGTTTTAATCAGCATAAACAGCAAATACCATCATGATGTACTTTACAGTTTAAATAAGATTTATTATTATTACAGTTTTTCTGAATTGCTAAAACTCTGTGTTTAAACCTTAAACACGTTCAGGCAGTTAGGCTCTTTTTGCAAAACTCTAAACACATTCTCATTCACTTAAACACTTATCACACTGTGATGCATTTGTGCTGCAAAATGCTAAGCGCAAGCGGCAAAAGTTAAACACAACTAAAGCACAGTTGTCATCGTTTACACACAATGATTCAAAATTATGCACACTTGTTTCTAATGATGTGATCAAAGCAACTGTACAAAATATGAGCCAGTTCAGAGTGCACAAGTGGCACAGGTGACTGAATCATGATACGAACAATAGATTGAGGAAGAGTACATGTAAGAAGTGGAGGATGAGGAGAGAAAGAGTTTAGAGAGTGTTATCAAGGCTGGATCTGTCAGACCAGAGGGGTTTTTTCTCTTTGTCTAGCAAAAAA